GACCTACCTGTTTTCAAGTAGCTTTCAGTCTACTTGAGAAGGGAGGCAAGTAAACGGACAATTCAAGAATTATGACAGGGGCAAGAACAGGATGACTTGAGCAGAAGCACCACTTAAGTCAATCTGGGAGGACCAGAGAGGGCCTCTTAAAGGAAGGAACATCTCAGATGAAATGTGAAGAACTGGCAAGACAAAGCAGATGCAAAGTATGTCAGACAGACAATAATTGTTTGGGATGGAATGTTATGGGATGAACTGTTTCCCCCAAATTCATATGTTGAAACCGTAACTCCCAGTACCTCAGGACTGAATTTGGAGACAGGGTCTTTAAAGAAGTGATTAAGTAAGATGAGGGGGGGCCTTAGCCCAACCTGACTAGTGTCCTTATAAGAGGAAATACTGACACACAAAGCACCAGGGGCACATGCACACGGAGGTGGGGGGGGGGGGTGGAGACAAGAGTGAGGACACAGAAGACAGCTATCTGCAAGCAAAGGAGAGAGACTTCAGAAGAAACCAAACCTATTAATACCTGGATCTTGGACTTCTATCCTCTAGAACTGTGAGGAAATAAAGTTCTGTGCCCCAGACTGTGGTATTTTGCTATGGCAGCCCTGGCAAACAGACCTAATAAGAGTTGTTGTGGGGCGCCTGAGTGGCTCAGTCGGTTAAGCGTCCGACTTCAGCTCAGGTCACGATCTCGCGGTCTGTGAGTTCGAGCCCTGCGTCGGGCTCTGGGCTGATAGCTCAGAGCCTGGAGACTGCTTCCGATTCTGAGTCTCCCTCTCTCTCTGCCCCTCCCCCGTTCATGCTCTGTCTCTGTCTCAAAAATAAATAAAACGTTAAAAAAAAATGAAAAAAAAAAAAAGAGTTGTTGAATTTTCAGAAAATGCATATATCCAAATGGATTCCAGGACCCCTTGCAAACATGTGACAGGCCCTCAGGGTTCAAAGACACTATCTGTATTAATAAGCCTTCATGTGAGGAAGACGGGTGGTATTTAGGTAAGAAGAAAAAAGACCATAACGATCATGGTGAAACCAACCACTACATTCTAGTTTGTATGGGCAAGGTGTGATGTTTGTGTGGCCTAAGAAGATCACACCTGAGCAAATTATCTGATCAGATAATATCGATCAGGAGGCTGCTCTGAGAAGGCTTAGATGATACAGGAGTGTCTAACCTAAAGAGGCTAGGAAATAGTCTATACAACATGCAAGAAGATACAGGAAGATACAGGAAAATAAACACTATATGATTAATGTGGTTTGATGGCAGTAATAGGGAAGATGGATCATATGCACATATCAATAGTGTGACATTGTGATATAAGAAGAAAATATACACTTGTTCTCTGTTCCACCTCCTGGCACAGAGTTCCTAAAACAAGCCCCTTTCAACCATACTGGAGTTCAGGCTAATGAGGTGACTGTTGTCAGAAGAACCAACTACGTGATCAGAGGGTTGAAACTTTCAGCTCCACCCTAGACTCAGGAAGGGAAGAGGGGCTGGGGATTGAATTAATCACCAATGGCCAATGATTTAACCATTCGTGGCTAAATAATGGAACCTCCATTAAAAACCCTAACGAAGGAATTAGAAGAGCTTCCAGGTTGGTGAACATGTGGAGATGCTGGGAAAGTGGTGCACCCAGAAAGCACGGGAGCTCCATACCCTTCCCACATGCCTTGCCCTATGCATCTCTTCCATCTGGCTGCTCCTGAATTGTATTCTTTCTAAAAAACTGAAAATAGCAAGTAAAGTGCACTCCTTAGTTCTATGAGCTGTTTTGGCAAATCATGGAACTTGAGGAAGGGGAATGTGGGAACCCTCCATTTATAACTGGCCCAGTTAAATGGAGGCCTAGACTTGTAATTAGCATCTGAAGTGGAGTCAGTCATGTGGGACTGAGCCCTTAACCTGTAGGATCTGTATTAACTCCAGGGAGTTAGTGTCAGAACTGTCGTAAGCTGCCCTGATGAGGCATTGATGACAAGGAGTATCTAACCTAGAGAGGCTTCTAAGAAATAGCCCTCTTTTTCATAGAAAAGGACAAAACTTAAGATATATAAGAAAACATACAGTATATGATTACTGCTGTTTGATGGCAGTAAGAGGGAAGATTCCATATTATATGTACATATTAATGGAAAGCAGGGTCTGTGGAGCTAATAAAGCTATAGCACTGGACCACATATTTCCCTGGCTCATGTGATGAATAAAAGCTTATTCAGACCATAATTAACCTTCTCAATTTCTAGTGACTGAAGGACCAAGACTGCTTATAGACAGGGTCACAAGACATTGCTTACAATGCATCCTTGAGCCAACTGTTTTATCATCTGTAAAGGAGAATTAGACTAAAATGGTCCTGAAGATGCCTTTTTGTTTTCATGTTCTCTGATATAAAAAAAAAAAAAAAAATCTGAATGAACGTGCTCTAATGATAACTTGATATTCACAACCCAAGGTAACATTTTATTGCTGAGAGGTTAGATTAAGGAGAAAGGGCAAGTGGAGCCCATGAGAGTAGATGAACTAGCTAAGGCTTTTGCACCAGATTATTCCTAAGCCCTAGACTTTTAAACCCATGCAAAGAAGACACAGTTGCATTATTGCATAAAGAGATCTAGTAGGGTGAAGGTTTTTTGGCCATGTCCTCTTAAATCTTAGGTGTTAAATAACTGATTTGCTTGATATAAAAGGTATGTTATAAGTAAGCATTGGTTTAAAGGAATTGATAAATATTTGCCATGGATGGCCCAACATTCCTTTTGGAAATCACAATGGTTAAATGCACAAAAACCGACTTAGATGAGGCAAAACGTGTATACAGACTGGCTGATGAAAGGATGGAGATACTACTTAATAGCAAGGATGAGGGCAAAAATAGCTAATAGCTGGAGACCAGAGAGTGATCTGGATCAGAGAGTGGCTAAAAAGTGTCCCATGCTCCTCTGTGTTCAGAGGACATGGGGTGTAAAACCTGATTCCTGCCCAAGAAGGGGAGAGGGTTTCCATTCCTCACTGACACATAAATGAGCTGGTACAGTCATTTAATATGTTATGAGGCACACAAGTTCATGTGTCCTCAGTGGGCATTGTGGAGGATAGTAGAATCACACCAATTTACCTCTACATGACAAAAGAGTTTGAGAACTGATATGAGCAGAGGTTTACCACTTATAACGCTATTAATCAAGCCTGCCTTTTGCTTTTTAACTTTTTTATAAACACATAAATCAGTCAAGAGTTGACTCAGGGAAGCAGGAGGCAGGAGTTAATATTGACACTGATTATATGAAGTTGGAAACATTTATTTATACAATCAGTACTGTGAAATAATTACAGTTATAGTATAAGTTTAAGGTATATGGCAGTATGAACTGGGAAATAAACTATGACTTCTATTTATCAACAGTTCTGAAATGTTTGGTTATGACAAACTCTCCGAGGGATTCGAAAGACATTTATAGATGGACTTTCATCCTAGAAAAGTGCATGTACACAAAAAAATCCGTAAATAATCTCAGGACCCAAAGTGACTGTTATGGGACAAGGGTAAGGCAAGGTATTATCAGCCACTCAGAAAGAAAGAGAAAGAAAAGGGAAGGGGTCAGGGTTATGAATCACCAAAGGCTATTTCTCAGTGTGTAGGATGTTATGCACTTATTAGCGACCAGGTTGCTCAGCAAATTCTTTGAAAGGGTAAAACTCCTTATCTCTAAATTAGTCTTTAAAGAGTATGATGGGGGAGAATTCGGGGGTAGGGAGATGGGCTGGGGAGCTCTGCCAAATGGCTAGCAGGAAGTTTTGTTTTTCTACCTAAAATTACATTATTGCATTTGAAAATGCTACCTTATTTACTCTTCAAAACGATCGCATCTACTCATTCATTTATTCAACTAACATTTGTGGAGCGCCTGCTATGTGCCAGGCATGGTCTTCTTAATTTTGCAGAAAGTGATGTTCAGAAAGATAAAACCATGTAGCTTTTAGGTGGCAGAAATGGGCTTTGAATCGAATTCATTTCTATCGGATTCAAAACCTGTAGAGCAGAAAAAGGAATTGGAGGACTTCAGCTGGTGGAACTGGTGTCTCAATCGAACCCCTCTTCCTCCTCGGCGACCGTGCAAACGTAAGAAGCAGCTGAATTTTAGCCAAGAAGTAGCGGAGGGCTGTGTCTGGGTCACTACCCACTTTGGATACCTTGGGACCCAGTGAGGAAACCTCATCGCTAAACACTTTTTGCATGGAACCGCTGAATGCAGGAGAGGCGAACAGGTCACCCCCAAGCAAATGAACAAACCTGCTTGGCTCCCTCAGAGAATTCTGCGATGCTGAACTCTTGGTCGAAATAGGCCCAGATCAGGAAAGCGTAAATTCGAGTCCGAACCCAGTTGATGGGGTTGGAGAATCCCAGAATGATCATCTTGGTTTTCTGGCGCGGCTGGGGCTGCTCCTCGGCGCTGTAGCTGCGCCGGGGGTAGGCAGGGAAAGCGGAGAGGGCTGCGGGTAGTCCCGGAGGGCTGAGCAGGGGACGCTGCGGGCCCCGAGCCGGCAGCGCCGAGGCCCAAGTGACTCGAGGAAGCGGGACCGGTCCGGAGCCGAGGCGGCGGCGGCAGAAGCGGCAGAGTTCAGCCAACGGCGGTCTCACCTCGGCTCCACGGGGAGTCCGGGGTCGGCCGGCCCCGCCGGGCAGCGGCGGAGCGAGCAGCAAGCGGGGCAAAAGACGAACAGCCAGCGCCATCTTTATGGCTTTTCACCCCAGTCCCTGTCTGTGCCGTGTCGAATGAAAGTCGGTGGGAAACCAGCTTGGCCGCATCCGGAGGAGACTAGAGAGTGAATCTGGCCTGTTGCTGCCACCTCTGGTGAGTCGGCCTCACTCCGGCTCTCCGGCACGCAGCTCACGCGGAGGCCCTGTGGCCCCGGGCCCGGATCTCCGACCACCCGCTCTAGCGAGTCGAGCGGCCCCGCGGACCTTTTCTCTCCGGGTCGCGTTTCCGGGCGGATGGCGCGCTGACGGACGTGTTGGGCCAGGGTTCCTGGGACTTGAGCGGGATAGGCGTGAGCGACCATGGCCTGGCAGAGCATCCCGGTAGCCCGGCTGGAGGGCGTTTCGCAGGAACAGTTCACGCAGCAGCTGTACCCGCAGGTGAGGCCCTCGGGCAGGCCGAACCGCAGGGAGCCAGGGAATACCTGTCCCTGCCACTCGGGCGGCTCCGAACTGCTTTCTGGAGACCCAGGGTATGGGGAGGAGCCGGCAGGCGGCTGAAGATGGCTTGTTGGCTCTGTGGCCAGGGGAGAGAGCACATGGGGGATGTCGAATGTATCATCTGTCAAGTTTTCCAGGGAGAACAGCGCCACGTTTTCGGGGAGCAGGGTGACAGCGGAGCCAGGAGTGCGAGAAATAGCTTGCCTGATAAGCGCTGCTCGCTGCGAAGGGTGGCTCTGGACGGACTTTATTATTTTGTCTTCCTCCGTTACCATGGCAACGAAGGGAGTTGCGTTGGGTTTCTTAAAGTTTAGAGGTTTCGTCGCCCCACTGGTTGCGTGAAAGGCGCGTGTTAGTCTACTCCACTGACTGGGTTCAGAAGAGCAATTTTTCACTGCATCGAGCCAAAAGGGAAAGCAATGGGAATCCCTCGGGAAACTGACTTCCCCTGGTCTTGGGTTCTAACTAACCTGAATTCCAGTTCAGACGTTGGAACCTCTTATATGTGTAATTCGAACCTCAGTTCCTTAAGAGAATACTCAAGAGGATAATATTAAAGAGAAGTATTTTGACTCGCGGTGCTTTGTAAGGGAATCCAGGCTTCAGAACAGACTAAAGAGTCCAGCAGGTACTTAAAAGAAAAATATAATCCACAAGCTGACAGTTAGTATGCTTATGGTAGAACTCTCCCTCAGCAATTTTACTTGATATTTAGAAGGGTGGTCACAGAGCTAGTTCTCAGTATGAAAAAAGTCAGGAACGAAGTTTTTTGATTGCTTGTTTGTTTGTTTGTTTGCTTTTAGGAGTTAGCAATCTAGAGCGAAGATCTAAGCCTTCATTTATTTGTGGGTCTAGTGCTGGATGGGTTGTTGTTGCCCTCCCTACTGCCACCTCAGGATGTGATCGCGTAAGATGCTTGTAGGGCACGATTGTGGAGAAACAATGTATGTGAAAATGCTTTCTAAGATGCATGGCAAAGAGTATTTTGTAACGTAATCTTTACAGACAAGATACATATAATATGTCACAAAGTGGACATACTTAAGTTTCCTAAAGTGGGATATTGCAAACAACACCCTGGCCACGATGTAATAAAGTAGAAACTAATAAAACTGTGAAACAAGACCTTTCTACTTGGAAACACTAAAGAAAATCGATGAGGGGGCATAGTCCTCAGATTTTTAACATGTTTTAATAATTAACAGTGTGATATAGGTGCATGAATAGATAGACCAGAGAAACAGAATAGAAAGTCTGGAGGTGTACATCTAGAAATAAATTTCCATTCATATGGGCATTTAGTATGTGATGACCATGATGTGTTAAAAATCACTGGGGCAGGGCGCCTGGGTGGCTCAGTGGGTTAAGCAGCCGACTTCGGCTCAGGTCATGATCTCGCAGTCCGTGAGTTCGAGACCCGCGTCGGGCTCTGTGCTGACAGCTCAGAGCCTGGAGCCTGTTTCAGATTCTGTGTCTCCCTCTCTCTGACCCTCCCCTGTTCATGCTCTGTCTCTCCCTGTCTCAAAAATAAATAAAACGTTAAAAAAATTTTTAAAAATCACTGGGGCAAAGGAACTTTTAAATAAGTGATGCGGGGGCAACTAGTCATTTTAAAAAATGATAAAATTAGATTTATATCTGACATCATGCATAAGAATAATCAAATCTCTAAATGGATCAGAGACATAAATGTAGAAAAATTAAACTACACGGGTGTTAGAAGAAAACATGGATAAATTCCTCCATAATCTAGGTCAGTGGACAGTCTAACTGTGACAGAAAATTCAGGTGTGGTAACAGATTAAAATTTGAATACATAAAATACAAGCTGGGGAAGAAAGTATTTGCAACATGTTTCATAAAGGGGCGGAAAAGGCCATGTATATAAAAAACTTCTAAAAATTAAAGGGGTGGGGTGTGAAAGGCCAAAAATCTGATAAAATGTGAGCAGTTGACCAAAAAAAAAAAAAAAGATAAAAAATAGCCTCTACACATGAAAAGATGTTCAACTTTACTCATAAGAGAACTTAAAGCTACACTGATACACCATTTCTTATCTATGGCTTTAATAATACTCTTGGTGAGGCTGTGAAGAAACTAGAACTCTCACACTTTATGCCAAGTGGTACAACCCTTGTGGAGAGGAATTTGGCATATCTAACAAAACTATGTGTGTTTACTTTATAACCCAGCAATCCCTCTTTGAGGAGTTTACTTTGGGGATTATTGCAAATTATCTAAAAATACTATGCACAGGAGAGTGATTGGTTAAATTGTTCATTTACATTATGGTGTACAAAGCAGTAAAAAAGAATGAGGGAGATAATCTGAACTGATAGCAGTGATTTCCAGGATATATTTTTAAATTAAAAAAAATATCAAATTACCAAAAAAAAAAACCCTCACAAAATATGCCACTTTTTTTTTTGTAAAAAAGAAGGAGAAATAAGGAAGTATATGTGTTTCTGTTCTCTGCCAAACAAACAAACAAAACCAGGAACGATAAGCCAAAAATGAGACTGGTTATCTATAAGGGATGAGTGAGCAGGAAGTAGAAGAATATGGATGGGATGACCTCTTCGCATAGTTTTGACTCTGGGGATCACATTAATGTTTTACATTCTAAAGTAATACTGATAATAAAATTAATGGTGAGTAGTGACTAAAAAAACCAAAACTCTAATGTAGAATTTAAAAAAATAACAAGTGAACTTAAGTAAGGGGGAGGGAGATAAGTAACCCAAATCACTTTTGAGCACAGTACTTGGTATGTCTTCAGTCTAAAGACAAAAAGAACTGTAAACAAATACTGAACTCTAGTTAATAGACTTGCTTTTTACAGTGATATGACTTAGCAATCGTGAAAGTATTTATTGTGAATTCTGGGATTATGCAATTGATTAAACATTGAAGATGATAGCAACAAGGTTTCTCACTGTTAACAGAAGAGAGTTACAAATATATAAACAATGAAATTTAAAATGAACCTTGTGTAAGATCGGTATTGGGGTTTCAGTGTTGGTGGTATTTTGGTTTGTTCATACATACATCTATTAAGTGCATATGTGTATATAGTGTATATGTATGCTTGGAGAGAGAGAGAAATAGATATAGGTATATACATATGTGGGCTATGTGTGATTATGTGTGTGTCTTTGGGAAAAGGAGAAATGAATATACACAAACTTTCACACATTTCTTAGCTCTGTCCACTGAGAAGGCCTAGAAGTAATGACACCCCAATAGCAATGAACACACCTAATACCAAGATCATGGTTTCTAAATATGAAATGACTGTAGGGCTGGGAGAGAAAAAGTATAAAAGGATTCTGGATTGTGGTTTTTTGCTATAAAGAAAGGATGTGTTCAGGTAAAAATTCACAAGAGCCAGCTTGATTGGATCCTACTGGCCAAATGTGAGATATTTCAAGCATCAAATTAAATCAGTAGATTAAACCAAGTGAATAAAATAAATAAATGGAGATGTTAGAGCTCATTTTGACATTAGAATGCTACCTAATGTAGAAGATGATGAAATTTTTTAAAAATCATGATTTTTGCATTCATCATAGTAATACTTGATTCAGGCAGGAATTACCAGTTGCTCAAAATTAACATCACAAATAATAGAGCAAAATATGTGCTACCTGATGTGTTGCACTGAGGAGGACACAGCATTGCTTCCGTGGTACATTTCTTCCAAAAATGTATGACCTGAATCTAATCACAGAGAAACATGAGATAAACTGAAATAGAAGGGCATCCTACAAAATAATTGGCCTGTACTTTTCAAAAATGTCAAGGTAGTGGAAGAAAAAGGCTGAGGAACTGTTCCAGATTAAAAGAGACATGGCAACTAAATGCAATGTGGGATTTCAGAAATAGACAAAAAAAAAAAAAAAAAAAAAAAAAAAAAAGCTATAAGAGATAATAGGACAATTAGCAAATTGGATATGGATTGTAAAGTAGTAGTATTTTTATCAGTGTTAAATCTAATTTTGATAATTATTCTGTGGCTATGTAAGAAAACATCTTTGTTCTCAGAAACCATACTCAAGTTTTTGGAGATAAAGAAGTGTGATGTCAGCAACTTACCTTGAAGTTAATTTATTTTTAATAATATGTTCCTCTCTATACACATAGTGAACATGAGAGCAAATGGTGAAGTAAATGGGGCAAAATGTTAAATTAACAGTTGGTGAATCAGAGTAAAGAGTATATATGGGAGTTCTTTGTAATGTTCTTGCAACTTTTTCACAAGTTTGAAATAGTATCAAAATAAAAAGTTACAAACAATATTGACTGTAAAGTACACATTTTAATTATTTATATTTTTGTTATAAATAGCACTTGTGAAAATGCTGTAAGTAATGTTCAGATTTGTTGTTCCTAGCTAGTGATGGCACTGCTGTTTTGTTTGGTTTGTTTTCCTAATGTTAAATTTTGTTCTAAGTGTATTACATTGTTGCTCTTCCTGTTTCAGTTACAGCATGAATTGTCAAAAGGTCTGAGTCTGAGCATCTTAGGATCAAGAATCATTTCTTACTGTTTTTGTCCCTGTATTGCCAAATATAACTCCTCATATATTATTCATTTTCCCTAATTTTTTGTTGTATGTTTTTGCCACTTACAGAGAAAACCTCTAGTGTTGGAAGGAATCGATTTGGGGGCATGTACAAGCAAATGGACAGTGGATTACCTGAGCCAAGTTGGAGGGAAAAAAGAAGTAAAGATTCATGTTGCTGCAGTTGCCCAGATGGACTTCATTAGTAAGAACTTTGTATATAGGTATTTTCTTCTGAGGCTTACTCTGGGATTACAAATAGCTTTTAAACCTTTATAAAATAGTTTTGTATTATTATACAAAGACCATACTGCATTTCATCTTTTGGCTAGTTTGATACAGTCATGGAATAGCTTACTAATTTTTAAATTCTAAATTTACATAATTATATAAAGACATTTTCAAAGACCATTTTTTAAATAGGGTATATGCCTGCTACCTTCTGGAACTCTGGAAGGAACCAGATTTCTATAACTTGAGTTAGATTAACCCCCAAATTGGGTCTGCTGTAGTCATTCAGTGCTTCATTAATTAATCGATCCTACCTCATTAGTAATTGTTATCTAGAGTAATGAATTCTAAAGTTTCCCTTCATAACCTAGCTTGATTTTTAATGCCCTTATTTTTAAAAGATTTTCTAATTCTTCATTGTTAGAAAAGCATAAGCCCATGCTTTCTTTTTTCTGCTCCCTCCAGAAATATAGGTCAGGTAGTTGCTATGTTTGCTATAGGTTTTCATCAACTTGGATAACTTAAAAAATCATAATTTTCTTTTTTGACACAATAACCTTAGATGCTTTTAATTTCCCTTGTGTTTATCATTTTATGCTTGAGATGTCTTAAAAGTAAGTAAGATAGTTAAAAGCTGCTGAATGTCCAAACTTTAATGTTTTAAATGCTATAATCTTACAGATTTAATATGCTATTTATTCCCATAAGTTTCATTAAAAATGTTTTTTAAAAAAAAATTTTTTTTTCAACGTTTATTTTTTGGGACAGAGAGAGACAGAGCATGAACGGGGGAGGGGCAGAGAGAGAGGGAGACACAGAATCGGAAACAGGCTCCAGGCTCTGAGCCATCAGCCCAGAGCCTGACGCGGGGCTCGAACTCACGGAGCGCGAGATCGTGACCTGGCTGAAGTCGGACGCTTAACCGACTGCGCCACCCAGGCGCCCCTCATTAAAAATGTTTAAAAAAAAACAAATTTTTATATTCTGTGCACATGCAGTTTCCAGCAAATTCAGTTGAAAAACCATGTAGTTCACAAAAGACTGATTTTTAAAGAAAGGTGGTTCTCACTGTTCCTTCCAGAGTTTAGAGATGAGTTAAACAGAGCTTCTAATGTCCAGAGCCATTCCTTTCTCATTAGAAATATCCAAGCTCATATAGCAGCTTGCCAAAGTATTTCTTAGTTTTTGAGCCTTTGAATATTCACCATTATAGTTTTGGTGTTTAGTAGGCCATGAATTGAATCTAATTGCCATAAGTTTTAATAAGTGCAAGAACTTTTCATTTTTTATTAAACCAGAAAAGTGGAAGAAAGTGCTGGAATGATGAACATTTTTAAGCCAGCAATTAATGATGTTTATTTTCCAGAGAGTCCAAAACCATAACAAATGGGCATTGAAACTTCATCTTGAATTGCTTTGATGTTTTGTCATGTTCCATAAACTTTTCAAAACTTGTTTTGAAGCACATACATTATGTAATAGTTCTTATCCCAGCTTTCTCCAAGCCTTTCACTAGAGCTACTAAAGAGTTGCAAGATTATTTTCTTAGTGCAAGAAAAAAATAGATGCAGTCATTTTTGGCAGTTACCAACCAGGGAGTAGGAAAGAAGGGAGGCATCTAGGTCAAAAGGAGTCTAGAAAGTAAGAAATCCTACACACATGTATCATTGTTACCACTTCAGTTTAAGGTTGCATTTCTGCTTATTAAATATTTGAAAAGCAATACATTCCCAAGTCTTAGCTTTTACTTCTTCCTTCTTGGTGCCTTTCATTGTTCCTCTAGAATCAGGGTAGTATGAGGAGAGTCTTGTGTGGTGAAAGAATATTGTTGGTATTTTTCTGGGCGTTCAAAAAAATAAGTTAAGTCTGACTCTTACATAAGCTTTATTTAACTGCTTCTGTCTATCACGTCATCTAATTCCCGTCATCATCCTGCTCTTATACTTTTATTAATCCTGATCTTGATTTTGCAAAGCAGCCTTTGCAAATGGGGACCAGGACAGTGAAGATTTCTTTTTCTTTTTTAAGAAAAAGAAACTACTTTCATGCTGCTAATGGGTACATTATCATTGTTGTTCACCCTACCATCTGTCCTTTCCTGAGCACTTACTATATATCAGGTGCTGTGCCAAGCATCCTAGATTATATTAGTCATTTAATTTGGAAACTATCTGTGAGGTAGTTTTTGTTGTTTGTTGTTGTTGTTTATGATTACACAGTTGAGAAAACAGAGGCTTAAAAACATTAAGTAACTTACCCAAGATCATATACCTTGAAATAATGAACCAAATCTATACCCAAATTTGCCTGACTCCACAGAGCCCATGAGACTAACCCCTCTTTGATACTATCTCCCTTACTGGTCTGTCTACCAGTCCAGACAAATGGAATTTAAATAGCAGGTGTCCTTTTTTTTGAAACATGCATAAGATAGATAAAACCTCTAGACCAAGGAACTTCCTAATTCATACCTCATTTCCCCCTGTCTCAGCTTTGCTTACATAGAAGCTCTGACAGGCACCACTACATGAGGGAAAAGATTGCTGATAGCACCCAAGTTCTGCTTTTCTTCATTGCCCTGTTCTCGTGCAGGTCTTAAAACCCTTCTGAGTTTTCCTAGTAAAAAGATAAGCCTGGGCTACTGTACCAATTACAGGGGTAGCTCTGGACCAGAGAAGCTTCTACATTTTCCCCAAACTCTTCAAAGATGCTTTAGTAGGAATAAGGGTATGTGATGAGGTCAGAGAGGAAAACATTGCATAGGGGGATTCCAAGTAAATTTGTTGATATAATTAGCCAGAAACTGTAGTAGGAAATTGGTCTGAGCAAATGGCAGACTCCTTTCTTCTCTCTTGGCAGTGCTCACTCTTGTACATAATTATCAGCAATGTCCTCAAGTTCAGACTGACATTCATAGCCACAGGACTCACTAGTTCGTAATCTGGCATCAGATTCACTTAGCTTTACAAAAGGATACAAGGCGGGAAACCACATTCTAGCAGTATAGGATCAGTGGGAGTCTTTATTCCAATACAGTAGCCATTTTTTGGCTCACCAAGTGACAGCTTAGTTGTAAGGGAACAAGACTATATAGGTGGGTACAGAAACACCCTAGTTTAGTCAAGCCACAGAATCCACAGAAACCAGTGACACGAAATGGCCCCGTGAATTTAGCTTCTAGGTTCCACCAAGGGACAAACTCAGTTACAAGAGTTACACTGCACACAGGGAAGCCAAATCTTTTGCTTCTTAACAAATATTTACAGTCCACTCATCAGCCTTTTAGTTCAGACATAGTTTATCAATCAAGGGTCATTTTTACAATACACAATGTTACCTGATATCACAGCTAACATTCCACATTTATCTTAAATCAGTAAGTTTTTATGAAAACATTGCTAGGAGAAGGTAGGCCCAAGGTCATCTTTTTATAGAGAAGGAGAAAGGGTTTTTGCTAACCCTTTCTCCCCACCTCCTCAGTACACATTTAAGTGGGAAGATATTAGGTAGGAAGAATGAAAAGATTACAACTCTTAATTGGACTTTTGGAGGTTGGAGTGCAGTGGAGGGGTGGAGGAGAGGCTTTTGACCCAGAAACTTTTGAAGACTTCATTTTCTTGATGTTACTGTTGTCATCTTCATGTGGGGGTCAGTACTTTTGATTCTAGAATGTTGAATAGATAGGATGGGACCCAGAGAAATGGTAGCCTTCCAGGCTCAAGAGTAAGACAAAAGGCAACAAACTGCTTCTGTGATGTTCATCTCTGTTTATAAGGGTGGAAGGAGATAGCCATTTAAACAGAAATATTGAAGAAGAATAAAATTTGGTCACTTCACTGAATTCTTCTTGAGGTATTCCTCAGGATCTTAAAAAAATTTTTTTAATGTTTATTTATTTTTGAGGGAGACAGACACAGAATGCAAATGGGTTGGGGCAGAGAGAGAGGGAGGCACAGAATCTGAATCAGGCTGCAGGCTCTGAGCTGTCAGCACAGAACCCGACATGGGGCTCGAACTCACAAGCTGTGAAATCATGACCTAAGCTGAAGTCAGATGCTCAACTGACTGAGCCACCCAGGCGCCCCACCTCAGGATCTTTAAAATGACAGAGTGGTGGTGGGGCGCCTGGGTGGCTCAGTCAGTTGAGCATCTGACTTTGGCTTAGGTCGTGATCTCATGGATCATGGGTTCAAGCCCCGCGTTGGGCTCTGTACTGACAGCTCGGAGCCTGAAGCCTGCTTTGGATTTTCTCTCTCTCTCTCTCTCTCTCTCTGCCCCTCCACCATTCATGCTCTGTCTCTCTCTCCCTCTCAAAAATAAATAAACACTAAAAAAAATTTTTTTTTTAAATGACATAGTAGTGAAGGAGACTGAGAGCAGTGTTATGGGCCTCTGTTTTCCCTGGTAGTGCCTAAAGGCAGGAAGATCAGTGAGAGAGGGAAGGACTTGATCTTCACTGGACCATTTGCTTACTATCTCTTCCAAAGTAGCACTAGTAGTTTGTTCCATTTGTCAGTCAAGACTTGTTTTGCCATGACACTTGAAAATAAGTAGCAAGTTTGAAAGTTTGTGTATATGGAGAGATAACCAGATACCACAGAAACATTTTTCTAACAGTAACTTGGAATAGGAGGATATTGACATTAGAATGATTCATTTGCACCATAGATTTAAAAACCTTTAATGTTTGAAATCAAAACTTTAGACAATCTAGGTCAAATAAGCACACAAATGAATTTTGAAAAATTGCACATAATAGATACAATAAAAATTATGGATACTGTAAAACAGAAGATCATATAACTCCAACAAACCTATATATATACCTATAGAATATTACTGGTTGATTTATTATTAAGTCTAAGGCTACTTTTTTGTTTATTTCAGAACTTTACCTTTTGATTTATTAAGTCTAAGGCTTCTTTTGTGTTTATTTCAGAACTTTACCTTTTGATAAGTTGGTTCAAAGGGCAGCTGAAGAAAAGCATGAAGAATTCTTTATTTCAGAGGTAACTGCTTTGAACGTTATTTTGTTTAGAAAGCATTAATATCTGTATACTAATATTTCTTGTACAAGAACATTAGATATACCAGAGTTGTCTCCTTCTCTGATAGCTGTTTTTAAGGTTTGGTTGTATATGCCGTAGATCTAGTTTTGCTATTTATTAGATCTCAAACCTTGGCCATGTTATTTTTCTGTGCCTTGATATACTCATCTATAAAACAGGAACAATAATAGTACCTATTTGATAAAGTTTTTGTGACAGTTAACTAAATAAAATCAATGCTTGACATGTAGAAACTACTCACTAAATGTTAGCTGTTAATAATACTTTCTTTGAAAATGCTTTGGTGTGTGGGCACCTAGGTGGCTCAGTCAGTTAAGTGTCTGACTTCAGCTCAGGTTATGATCTCACGGTTTGTGAGTTCAAGCCCCACATCAGGCTCCATGCTGACAGTGTGGAGCCTGCTTGGGAATCTCTCTCCCCATCTCTGCCCCTCACCCACTCATGCTCTCTCTCTCAAAATAAACAAACTAAAAAAAAAAAAAAATGCTTTAAGAAAATGCTTTGGTCTGATATGCAAAGTTCAAATGCTAAAAGAGAACTTTATTTTCGTATCTTTTTGACTGTTAGACTGTTTCTATATTTTATTATTGTTAGTTATTATCAATGTGATTGCTGTTGTATTTGCTGTAACATTTGTTCAGAATTAAATGCAGAAGAATTCTACTTATTTACATTATAATCCAGTTTTAAATAATTCAATTTAAATATCTTGAGATAAGACATTGCGGCTTATATAGAAATACATTTTTAACAAATTCACTGTTATCTCAAAAGCACATTTTAAAAATAAACTGCTTGTTAAGTTTTGAATAAAGCTGTTGTCTGCATTTGAGCCAGCTGGGCTGGTGGCCAGTTTGGTTGTGATGGGTGCTGCCTGTTCACGGTTGTTTCAGCAGGGAGTGGTTACACTAGATTATCACCAGGATCCCTCCACACTCTGCAGGGCTGTGATTCTATGATATGATTAGATTGTCTACTAAAACTGAATCCATTAGCTTTACCTGAACTAACAGTATATATTCATCTTATTTACAACTTTCCATAATTTTTAGACATAAATCCATAATTTTTAGGTGTAAGATGAATATAGACTATCAACTCAGTCCTTCAGGAAGCAGGTGCACAGATGGGCTTAGGAGTGCAAAAAAGTTTATTGGGGAGTAATACTTCTGAAAAGAAAGGGGAGGGTTAGGTGGGGGAAGACAGCATCTCTGCCAGCTCAAGGTGGAACTCCTCAGCAAAGACTGCCTGTTAGAGGAGTCCTGTGTGTGTGGGTGGGTGACTGTCTAGTCCTTTTCCATCTTGCTCAGTCAGTGGTTGGGGCTACCCCGACAAGAGCGTGACCTTGAAAGGCTGAATTTATTTTTTTCAATCCTGAAATATTAGAACGGACAGAAAACTTAGAATTCCGAAAACCATACTTTGAAACCTATTTACCCAGTAAGAAATTTATAGAAATTATGACGCTAGTTAAAAACATAAAAACACTGGATCTGAGGGGCGCCTGGGTGGCTCAGTCGGTTGGGCGGCCGACTTCGGCTCAGGTCATGATCTCATGGTCCGCGAGTTTGGGCCCCGCGGCGGGCTCTGTACTGACAGCTTGAAGCCTGGAGCCTGCTTTGGATTCTGTGTCTCCCTCTCTCTCTGCTCCTCCCCAATTCGCACCCTGTCTCTATCTTTCAAAAATTAATAAATGTTTAAAAAAAAATTGAAAACACTGGATCTGAGAGCTGAGTTAAATTTTTGGTCCTAGATTTATAATATGTTGTTAAGATAAATAATGTAGATTTTGAATTTTGTGTTATGATGGTAAGGTGTAGGTATAAAAGAGGCAGAATTCCTGAGTTGGATTGCCCTGTACTTGACCCAGTATCTCAGTTCTTTAATTTTTAGAGGAAATGCAAGCAACAGTAGTGTTTTATAATTCAAACACTTCTCTACTCTAGCTACTCAGTGAAGGGTAGTTGACAGTTTTTTAAAGTATCGACATAAATTTACTACTCTGATGTGACATATTTCTAATTCATACATGAGCTGACTCTAAAGGATTTGGCTTGAGAATTTATATGATCAGTTATAAGGCTTACCTTGATAAAATGCAGTGTTCTGGATTTTTAAAATATTTATTACTGAAAATATAAATTGTTATATTTATCTCGTATTCTACATTTGCATTATATGAAGAAGTTTGTTGTTAGCTTCCACAATACCTTGAGATCATGTGTGTTATACAAATGAGAATTCTTTTCAGTCTTATAAACTGTTAAGAGTGTAAGTAATTTAGAGCATAAAATCTAAACTAAGCATTGTAGGGACGCCTGGGTGGCTGAATCAGTTAAGCTTCCAGTTTCGGCTCAGGTCATGATCTTGTGGTCTGTGAGTTTGAGTCCTGTGTGGGTCTCTGCGCTGAGCGCTCAGAGCCTGGAGCCTGCTTTGGATTCTGTGTTTCCCTCTCTCTCTGCCCCTTTCCTGCTCGTGCTCTATCTCTCTCTCTCAAAAATAAATAAACATTAAAAAATAAATTAAGCATTGTGTTTTAGACATAGTAGGTATGTGTTGCCTTTCAAATTTATTTCATATAACATTTTGTGGATCTAGTCCTTCTAATAAGCGGCCTATGAAGCTATTTCTTCATATGGCCACCAGAGAGCATTAGTAGAAAGGGTAAGAAAACAGAACTGTTTCGAAAACAACTTAACTGGGTTAGATTTTAAGACTCATTTCATTCTGTCTTTACTTTCTAATATTTTTAAGTGAATATTTATGTTATTTTTCTTTGCAATATTTAAGGATGAGAAGTACTACTTACGGTCACTTGGGGAAGACCCTAGAAAGGTAAGAATTCTGAATGTAAAACAAATGCTTAAAACCTAAATGGATATATATATATTTTAATTGGCACTGTAGTTTTATACTTAGTGCCTGACACATGACTTGTTTCATCTTTTTCCATTCTTTTCTCAATGATTTGTGCCCTTGAATAAGACAAAATTATTAAAAGTTGGTTACTTAGTTCTTAGGCAGGACCATAGTATCTTAGTGTTTAAAGTCATCTACTCTAATCTCTATATAATTAAGAAATCCTTTCAACAATATATTTTACAGATGGCCATTCAACTAATAAAATATAATCTAAAATAATTATAAACATTCTGAATAATTCATTATATAAGTTTTGACATGTATTCAGAGTCAAATTAATATGGCTGCCTAAAATGATCAAGTAAGGGGCGCTTGGGTGGCTCAATCGGTTAAGCATCCAACTTAAGCTCAAGTCATGATCTCATAGTTCATGGGTTCGAGCCCCACATTGGGCTCTGTGCTGACAGCTCAGAAGCCGGGAGCCTGCTTCAGATCCTGTGTCTTCCTCTCTCTCCGTCCTTCCCCTGCTTATGCTCGCTCTCGCTCACTCTCTCTCAAAAATAAACATTAAAAAAATTAAAAAATAAAACGATCAAGTAAGATTCTGGTTTTTCCTTTTATTTCCCATTTCATTCTTTACTTTCTTTTAGTTTCCTCCCTTAGTAAAACCCACAGGTTTTACATAGTTGATAATGTTCAAATTGTTGACTCATAGATTTTAAATACTTAATGTTGGAGTAGATGGCAATTGTATGATTGTTGTTTAAATAGGAAGAACCTATTAATTAAGCATATAAAGCTTAACAGTACTGATATTGTTGAATCTGCAGTCTTGTTACATAATCTGTTATTACTTCATTTGAAAGAGCATGTGTTGGCTGTGGTCACCTACTAGTATTTTAAAGCAATGAACAGACTTTTGCCCCATTCCTCCTTGATATCTTGGGCTCTGATGGCAGACTGAAGTAAAACAAGCATTACACCAATATTGCATTTATTATTAAAATTTTTTACCATGTTTCTCTCAATGCAGGATGTTGCAGATATCAGAAAGCAGTTTCCTTTACTGGAAGGAGATATTAAGTTTCCAAAATTTTTCAAAGAGGAGCAGTTCTTTTCCAGTGTTTTTCGAATTAGCTCACCAGGATTACAACTTTGGACCCACTATGATGTATGCTACGTAAATGAGAAATCTGAAGCTATAGTCAATCTTTCGCATTTATAGATATAACATTTACAGTTTTAATGTTCTGTAGACTACCCTAAAGATCTTGGAGATATAATTTACTGAAACATGAGCTTTGAAAACAGGTGCTCTGCAAGTTGGTGCCTAGTTTCTCATATTTGCATTTCTCTGTGGTCTTGTTATATTGTGTGTATGTAAGTTTTGTGCAGGGTTTTTCTTTTTTTTTTTTTTTTTTTTTTTGTGAAAAATGGCCACCAGATGAGGGGGGAAAGTTGCACAAATGGCAAAAGTCATAAGGTTATGATATGAGGATGTGAAGATGACACATGTGACTAGGTGGAACTATTTCTCAAGAGAAAGGCAGAAGTTTGTGTAGATCCATTTCCAGTTGTAAGAATTTGGGGATATCTGAAGATCTTAGATTATATATCCCTTGAGAATGTGAAATGTCAACTGTATTGGTTGAGCAGCAAGATGTATATCATGGTATTATAATTTTACTTGCTTAAATATATGCATATAAATATTTTAAACACATTAATCCTACACATTAAAAGTGTAGGATTGTGTATGGTTTGTTGTTGGGTGGAGAAATTTAGGAAGCTAAAGCAATACCTAATAAGTTTCTAAACATAAAATAATTTTGGGGGTGCCTTGGTGGCTCAGTTGGTTAAGCGTCCGACTCTTGGTTTCGGCTCAGGTCATGATCTCACGGTTCGTGGGTTCTGGCCCCATGTCAGGCTCTGCGCTGGCACTGCGGAGCCTACTTGGAATTCTCTCTCCTCTCTCTCTGTCCCTCCCTCTGCTCTCACTCATGTGTCCATTTTTTCTCTTTCTCTCTCAAAATAAATAAACTTTAAAAATAAATAAATAAGGATAAAATAATTTTTTTTAAGTTCTAAATCAAGCTATATTGTTTTATAAATGTATTATAATTCAGCTGAGGATCTCTTGGGAGGATTGTAACATAATAACTCTAACTAAATGAGGTAGACAGATTCTTAGCTTAGTTTTTAAATGTTTTACATAAATGATATGGTGAGAAAATGATATGGTAACTGAAATATATTTTTAATTGTATTATGTGACTATTTTAAATTTTAACTAGTATCACTTTTATCTGGATTTATAATGAAATTTGATAAATCTTTTCTTAAAAATAAGTCAAAGGAGTGCTTGTTATATAGTTAAGGTTTACATAAGAAAAGGGTTAGTGAAAGGAGAAATGCTTAGGTAGAAGCAAAATGTAAATAATTATGAATATATCTTGCTTAGTATATATTTTAATTCCTTGGCTAAGAATTATGTATCTCCACCTTTTAACATTTTCCACAATGTGTACCAACAAAGTATATCCTTGCATATGCAGAAATCAAGATTACTCCATTAGTAAGTACATAAAGAACATTTGCCAAGTTATAGTCCAGTAGAAATAATTTGGAAATCAGGATGCCGTAACTAAATTATGGTTGGCTATATAAGAGTTTAGTAGTGGTTGATTACAGCAATACTTTGTGTTTTTCCAGCACCTAATTTTTCTAAGTGCTTTTCAATCTGTTGTCCAATGTTCATTGCACAGCATCCCCTGACAAATAAGTAAAATAAGTACTAACCAAGGGGAGCCTCAAATAGATGTAACTACCTTCTCTGTCAGAATACTGGGGCAAGGGCAAATAGTCCTCAGATTTCCTAATGGCTTGCCAGTCCTTACCATTTTAAGGCAATGCTGCTGGAATACCTCTAATAAAGGCACAGTTGTATTTAGAATACAAATGTTTTCTTTGTTAGATTAGAATATTACTGTAAGAGTTTTAGATAATGTGAGGCAAGTCTTACTAAAGGATAGGGTTTACATTTAACTGTTTGGAATACCACTGGTTCTATTTATTTGAATTTTAGATATTGCTTATCCATAAGTTCTTATTGGCCTTCAGGTAATGGATAACTTCTTGATACAAGTGACAGGAAAAAAACGTGTTGTACTATTCAGTCCTCGAGATGCCCAGTATCTATATTTATCAGGTAATTTTTTTTAAGTTTATATTTCTAAGGTCTGGTCTATTCAGTTTCTCTTTTTAAGAATTCTATTTTCGGGGCGCCTGGGTGGCGCAGTCAGTTAAGCGTCCGACTTCAGCCAGGTCACGATCTCGCGGTCCGGGAGTTCGAGCCCCGCGTCAGGCTCTGGGCTGATGGCTCAGAGCCTGGAGCCTGTTTCCGATTCTGTGTCTCCCTCTCTCTCTGTCCCTCCCCCGTTCATGCTCTGTCTCCCTCTGTCCCAAAAATAAATAAACGTTGGAAAAAAAAAAAAATTTAAGAATTCTATTTTCATAGAAAAATACCTTAGGGCTTCTTCCTAATTATGATGTATTTGTGTTCACTGTGCATGTGTATATAGGTAATAGGCTGTGTGAACAATGAAATTTTCAAATTTTCTTAAATATATTAAATGGATGTCCATGGTCATAAAGGGTGGGTCACTGAAAACTGGCTTAGGTTTCAGAATAGTAATTGTTCTCACAGTGTGGATAAAATAAATAATTGTACAGAAAAGAATACACTTTCAAGTTTATATTTGCAATTACCTTTTAAGAAATGCTAACTTTGCTTAATCTTTATTATCCTTTTTTGCAACTTTTCAGGTACTAAATCAGAAGTACTGAATATAGATAATCCAGACTTAGCTAAATATCCACTGTTTTGCAAAGCTAGAAGGTATGAATGTTCCCTTAAAGCTGGAGATGTATTATTCATTCCTGGTAAGATTTCTAGACCTCATTAATTTGCTGTTTATAAACTCTGTACTCTGTCACTCATCCATTATATGATATTTTTTTTAGTACAAAAGTATATTTATTATATGTTCTGTCCTATACAAGTTGATTTTTATATACAACTGTGTATGTGTGTTTAAAGTATGCTTAAGCAAATTCTTATAAAATTAATAATCTTGTTTTTCAAAGGCAACCTATAAATATATTATTAATTAATATAATACTCTTAATTATTTAATGACATCAAGCAATAGACATATCTGGGAAAAGATTAGTTTGTTCTTTTTAATCACTTCATTTCTAAAATATTTATATATTTTAGAATTATGTCACTTAAGCATTTACAAAGAAATGGTAAATATATTTCAAAGCCAAAGGAGATTAGAAATTTTATTAAGTATCAAATTATTATAATCTTAACACCTATGATGTCTTTTTTGTGCATTATATTCTAAGGTCTGAATTAGTGTCGCTTAATTTCTTTGTACAATAAATAGGCATTAGTTGTAGTTAGTGATGTAATTAATATCTGTAATTATTATTCAAAAGTGAATACCTGAAGATAAAAAAATCATAATTAAGATTAAAGGAGTCTATTAACAAATTCTGTTTATATAGTCCTATTTCCCATATTTAATATATTTTTAATCATTAATACCTCTTTTTCAGGGACAGAATTAAGTAAAAAAGTATTAGTAAAAATATGATGAGGGGTGTCTGGGTGGCTCAGTCGGTTAAGCGTCCAACTTCAGCTCAGGCCATAATCTCACAGTTCCTGAGTTTGAGCCCCGCACCCAGCTCTGTGCTGACAGTTCAGAGCCTGGAGCCTGCTTCAGATTCTGTCTCCCTCTCTCTGCCCACCCCCCACTCATATTCTGTCCTTCTCTCTCTCTCTCTCTCTCTCTCTCTCTCTCTCTCTCAAAAATAAACATTAAAAAAATTTTTTTTTTAATATGATGATTTCATTTGGGGCTACATTATACACTGCTTGAGGATAAGTAACCATGTTTTGGTAATTTTTGTATTCTCCAAGGGGCCTGTTACCATGTCCTTAACATAATACTGATTTGATACATTGACTTATTTATTCTTATGTTCTCTGTAAACAACCAGCATACTAGTCTTTAAATCTATTGCCATTATTTAAATCTTGGGGTTTTATATCTTTAGACAATGGTTAGGAGCTATGCAGTTTTCCCTTATTCTATATACAAGTTTAAAAAAAAAAAGCCAGAAATACTGAACATTTGCATATATTTTGAAATAAAAGCAAAACCCCATCTTTGCATTCAAATTTAACAGAATGGTTAGCTTGTTTTTCCTGTTATACTGAATAAGGCAAAAAGATTCTTAAAGAATAATTAAGATTAAATCCATGTTTGAAACTAGTTTTGCAAATCAAAATATTTTAAGCTTTGTTTTTCCTAGAGCACTCTTAGAATGAGTTTGTTTGTAAAATTTAGCATCTTGTAAATCTTACTTTCTCCCATTCACAAGATTAAACATTTTTTGATGTGACTAGTATTTCATCTTTATTATATTGTGATGTTGCTTTCATATTCCTATAGCACCTGTAAGTTTGAAAATGTTTAGACTCAATGGAAAACAAAGAAATGTTCTAGGGGAAGTGAAAAATTAATTAGCTATATCCTTTGACAAAGTTTACTCATTATCTCTACCACCAGATATGTACTTTAGTTTTATATATTGTAAAGGAGTTGAAAGAAATATAAGAAAATTATAATTAATTTAATTAGAAATATGAAACTAAGGAGGCTACAATGAATGCAAATTTAAGCAAGTTAGAAAACCAAATATGCAGCTTGAATAGGAAGTCTTTGAGAACAAAAGTACTGTGCTGAGGCAGAAAAGGTCAAAGATACTCCTCAAATAATTGAAATGTTCTGTGTACAAAAAATAAACACTTTTGATGTGGTTGTAGGACTCAGGAAGTGTAAACAAGTAACACAAAACATAGCCCCAAATTACAGAACTACAAAACAAATACAACTTTATTATGTCTTTCAAGTTAAAAGGGAAAATTGCTATTTCCAAAGGTTTTAAACGTAGGGTTGTGTTATTGACACTTTAAATTGTTTGGCAGTTCATAAAAGTTAAAATGATTCTGTTAAAAGCTGGGAGTGTGCTAACGAAGGCATCTAGTTACAAGAATTTCTTACATTGGCTATATGCAATTTGTGATATTTCACTGACATTTTGGTTTGTTTTTTTTTTTTTTTTACTCTAGGTTTTATTTTTAATTTGTTTTTTTTTTTTTTTTTTTTTTTAACTTTCTCTAGCTTTATGGTTCCATAACGTAATCTCTGAAGAGTTTGGAGTGGGAGTGAATGTTTTTTGGAAGCACCTTCCGTCTGAATGCTATGATAAAACGGATACCTATGGAAACAAAGACCCTATGGCAGCATCAAGAGCTGCACAAATTCTGGACAGAGCTTTAAAAACACTGTCTGAATTACCAGAGGAATACAGGGACTTCTATGCACGGCGAATGGTCTTACACATTCAAGATAAAGCCTATAGTAAAAACTTTGAGTAAACAATGAAGTGAATGCAATTAATATAAACTTTGCAATACAGTTCAACTCAAATATTAGAAAAGTATAACATATAAAATATTTTTTAAAGATTGATTCTTTGTTAAAATAGGAAAGATAAATCAATCTCAGACTTATAGATTAAATATGAATTTGTATTTATATGGTTTCTATTTAATACAGTAGGTTGAAAGAATGTTGTACTGGGTGGGACCACTCTAGCTTTCCGATGCAAATAATTAAAAATCCAACTTAAAATGACTTAATAAAATAGATTGGTTGGCTCAATCGGTTAAGTGGCTCAGGTCATGATCTGTTTGTGGGATCGAGCCCCATATCAGGCTCCATGCTGACAGTGGCGAGCCTGCTTGGAATGCTCTGTCCCTCTCTGTTCTTCTCCCCCGCTTGTGCTCTCTCTGTTCTTCTCCCCTGTTTGTGTGCTGTCTCCCTCTCAAACTTAAAAAAAATAAAATGACTTAATAAAATATACTGAATCATTATACATGAAGTCAACTGATAAACGGGCTTCAGTATTTCTGATCCAGTGATTCAGTAGTGTCACCAAGAACCTCTAGGTTTGTTTCTCCCATTTTCAAATGCAGCATTGGCATCATCATAAGGCTGGCTACCCTCGTGGTCACGGGATGATTGCCAATAGCAGTTGGAGCCATGTGCTTCTTCATTTACATGCAGTGGAGAAGTCAGGCTGGATTCCAAGGGCCTTCTCTTAATATGCAAAAGCTTTCCCAGGGTCTCATTGATCTAAAGTGGCTTAGACCTGTCTACCGCTGAGCCAGTCACTGGGAAATGGTATGGAATAACCCTTAGAACAACTGGGTCTCCTGGAGCTTATAAGTAGAATCCTCTTCCTCTGAGGTACATGAGGTATACATGCAGACAGCATGGATAATTTTTAAAATTAGGATTCAGGTTAGGAAAAGAAGATGAGCAACCAACGATGTCTACTACATTTTTCCTTTGAGCTTTTTAAAACATACAGTTGTCTAGGCACCAACTTTGTAGACTTTATTCGGTTATGTTTAGGGTTTGGTATAGTATCTGTATCTGGTAGACCTCATAGGTTGTTTTGATGTATAATCAGGATTGAGAACAACTGGATTAAATGATAGTAATTTGGATTATTGGTTTTGTGATTTGTCCAAAAAGTTTAATCTGATCCTGGGGTTTTTTGGCACTCAAAGTCAGATCTGCCCCTTTTTTCAGTTATTCAACCGCAGAAAATGTTCAAATCTGTTTTAATTTATACTTACAGCTAAATCTCAGCCCAATTAGTTTTCCCCACTAAATGATTTTCCACCTCTTTTTAAAGAGAAAAATTCTTTTTTTAAGAACAAATACAGGAGAGATCCCAATAATGTTGTCATCATTGAAGACAATGAGCCATTGTATGTGGATCTGTGCCATTCTTTGTAATTATATTGCAATTTCATTGAGGAAAGACCAGATATATTTACTGAACACAAATGTGTTCATCTAAAGCAATCTGAGTGCATCAAGTTGGTGCGTTTTAATTATGGACAAAATAATTTTCTGTTAAAGTAATTCGTCTGTTCATATCCTGTGTTTGGAGTTTGATTAATTTCAGGTATAAAAAACATTACGATAAATAACGGAAAAGTATATAAAAAATCATTCTGAACTCCCTAGGTGCCTTTGGGAAGAGAGATTGAAGTTACTCAGGTCAACAAAAGTAAAAAGACGGTCTGTTAGAAAAGCAATTGTCACATTAGCCTGATTTAATTACAAGTTTTTTTTTTTTTTTAATTATCTTTAGTTCTTAGATTAAGCAAAGAAATTCTTTAATGATTCCTTTTCCTTTGGGAAGAAAAAAAAAACCTCTGTTAGTTTGAACAGTATTTATGCTCAGCTCTTTAATAAACCTCCTGGGTTTTGCCTCTTTAAAAAAAACAACACAAAGAGAATCAGTGCAAAGTATATATCCAGAGTCATGTAGAAAACTTGGAAGTAAAACAGATTATAATCTTCCCAATGAATATTCATTTTAATTCAGTTTATTTGGGGAGCACACTGCATGACCTTAGGCAAGTTAAATAATTTAATCTTTCTGAAGCTTATTTTCCTCATCTTTAAACTTGTACTTTATATGGTTGCTACAAAATTACAGAGATAATTCCAGGGCAGGGACAGTGATGGCTGGTGCTAGCTTTGAGATTTGGGGTGGCTCTTGTGGCAGTATTAAATTATAATGCCTACAAAACTAGAAGTGAACCCTTAGGGAAATTTTAAAATGATTTCCTTGGTCATATTTTTTAATGTTAGAGTCTTAATTTTGCATTTATCTTTTTTGCTGACCTGATTGAGACCAAATGAGATATTTTTAATATATAACATATTAAACAGTATGTTAGCTGCAACGTCTCAGGAATTCCAAATCTTAGAACTTTATTGCTGAAAGGGATCTTAGAAATCATTTTATCAATCCACATCGCCTGATTGTCCAGGCTTGTGACAGAAACTGGAATTACAGCTGTGGTGACCAGGTCAGTAATTGTCCACACTTTCTCCCTTAGGTGCAGCACATCTCTTGTTATTCTTTGACTACAGTTTGGGGGCTTGACCTGATACACAAAGGAATTTTTCTTCTCTGTCAGCAAAACTTGTCACTGTACCACTCACTGTACCACATAGACAAGGGATACAAAGTAAGACTAACAAGTAAACAACAGAGTGTAAGAGAAAATGGAATACTATGCAGTCAAACAATGAGACAGAGGTATTGTAGTACTGGCAAGAAAGTTTTCAAGGTAATTAAATGAGAAAAAGGTTGGAAACTATGGATATAGTGTACTGCCGTTTGTGTAAAACAAAGGTTTGCTGTAAGTAAACATTTATATTTGTATATGTATAGAATTATCTCTGCTAGAATATACAAGAAACCAGTGATAGTGATTGCCTTTGGGAAGAAGTTAGACAATTTAGGTGTGCAGACTGGAATCTGCAGTTGTATATTTTGACTTTTTTTTTTGGCCCTCTATCATTCTTTCAAAACAACTTTTTTAAATACATGTGTTAGACTGTATTAGTTTTTCATGAACACTAACAGTATTTGTCTTGGCACATAATTACATTGGAATTCTACTTATTCAGTAATTGATTTAAAACTTGTCACTTACAGTTTTAAAAAGGGAAATAAATTCAACAAGGCTTATTTTGTATCTTTCCACCCTTTTGAAGAGCGGCTATGGGAACATTTGGAAAGAATCTTGGTAAGGAGGCTTTTCTCTCACCTATCTGAAGTTGCCAACAGACATCTAAGCTGAACCTGAGAAGTTGAAGGAAAGCAAAATGCAGGAAGCTGGAGTGCAGGTATGTGTGGGGTCAGAGCTGTGCTGCTGGGACTCCTTCCTCCAGGGCTGAGACCAGACATGGTGAAGAGCCAGTCGACAGGCAGTCACTCACACATCCCTGCTGTTACCTCAGTCTTGTTGCAAGCACACATGTGAGTTTTTGGTGTTTTAAGTATGCCTAAGTTGTATTCTATTTTTAAAGCTCCATTAAATGGGATCCTAAAATGACCACCCTAAGCAACTGCCTGTCTCTACCACTAAGAGCTACTAGACCAACCTGAACTTACAGATGAGGTCTACCTATGTGTCGATCATATCCTCTGAGGCCCTCAAATGAAGTATAACAGAATAGCTCTTTTAAAAATACTACCTTTTGTTTCATATTTTCACTTTGAAGCCTTAGTCTATTACACATTTCCATACTCAAATGCTTGAGACTGGTTTGTCTGAGCCTGGATCTTTCTTGCCTGGGTGGGTGCTTATATATATCATTACATGGGTGAAATGAAAAGCAGATCACACCATATTTTAACTAAGACTCTTAAGGAGAGCACAAGAAATACATATACCTGAAATTATTAGCACATGAAAGGAAAAACCTACTTACTTGAGTTTTTCTTCCACAAGAAATTCAGCAAAAGAAATGGAAATAAAGCAAATTTTTGTGGGGCAACTTAAAGGAGAGAAGAAATGTATTTTTACAGGAAAGACTCAAAGTTGCTCATATGAAAAGACATGGAAGGTTAATGAAGACACATACAAACCTAAACTAGCAAAGTGGATAGAAATAGCTTCCTTCCAAGTAACAATCTGAAATTTTAACAAATCTATTAACATAAAGCACATCCAAACAGACTTCTCTGGATTAAATTTAATACAATTGTACATTCATGCTGTGGCGGTAACAACTTTCACATTATCTATATGACTTCTCAGTTGATTCTCATGACACAAACACAAAGGCACAATCCAAAAGGATACACTAACATTTACAATAGTTTTAAACAAATGTAGAGAAAGAACAAATTGGAAGTCATAAATATTCGAATAGGGATCAGCTGGAATATATTTTCATTCAAGAAAATATTTCTACTTTCAACACTCTCATCTGTTGCAATGGCAGTTCCAGGTGTCCAGTGAGTTATTCTTAACATCCATTGAACACATAACAATTATAATTAAGCAGTCATATGACTAGATAGCTAAAGAACCCAGATTTTTAAATATCTCAGATTTTTCAGATAAATCCTTCTTTTTTCCATTTTACCTAATCCTGTGAAATAAGTGCTTTTCCTTCCCCCTCAGTAGTGCATTCAGTAACTTAGCTACTTAACATTAGATACACATGAATTTAACCAAGGATTATTAAACATTGAAAGAAGCCATCCAACCAATCATGATACTTTAAGATTAGGTAATAAAATGCTAGAATCAGGTTGCTGGTTTCCTTACTGGGAATTTTTGGTCTTAAAAGCCGGTAAAGAAATTGAACCAACATAAACTAACTTGTCCTTAAAAAAAATTGAGATACTATTCTGTACTTTATACAATTAAGGGATGTCATTTCTAAGCATTTGGTGAGCAAGAATTCTGATAAGTTTGAATATTTGGAATGTATTACAGAGTCATTAAAATATAAGTCTGGGAAGAAACCAAGAGATTAACATTTTAATTCTGTATTTTATAAATTTAGGTCCTCTGGGTTATTAAGATATTAAGCTTCAGTATCTTTTTTTATCAATTTGAAAGCGGCAATGCCTGCTTAATTATTTCATGACCTGCAAAAGCTAATTATTAATAAGCAATAAAAAAGTGACTGCTCACCTTTTATTGTAATCATACAGCTGTCAGTGTTAGTTGACACTCATTAGATCTTGGTTTCTCAAAATGTATTTATCTAGGTCAAGAAAAACAGGCAGAAGGAAACCTCACCCAAATTATGTAGCAGTGTTAAGCAAATTCAG